CCGGTCTGTGCGAGAGATCCTGTGCCGCTCACAGCCTCCACCACGTGAGCGGTAACAATGAAGGCTTATACTGCGCTCAGCCTCTCCGCTCCCCCTTCTACAGCTTCACACAACACCTGGTACTCATTACTCCACACTCATGCTTGGCTGTTTGGTCAGCCGGGTATCTGACCCACGCGGAAACCCGTCACAGTGATCGACCGGGTGTCTGACCCACGCGGAAACCTGTCACCGTGATCAGCCGGGTGTCTGACACACAAGGAAACCCGTCACTGATCAGCCGGGTGTCTGACACACAAGGAAACCCGTCACTGTGATCAGCCGGGTGTCTGACACGCAAGGAAACCCGTCACCGTGATCAGCCGGGTGTCTGACACACAAGGAAACCCGTCACCGTGATCAGCCGGGTGTCTGACACACAAGGAAACCCGTCACCGTGATCAGCCGGGCGTCTGAAACTGAGAGTCCAAGTCAGTGGACAACATCTCTGAGTCTTTGAGACGTCTTTCTGACGTGAACAATGTCAGTATTCTCTTACATGATGGGTAAATCCCAGAGAGTGTCAGGCACATGTTGGCGAGAGCCTTCGTGGGTGGGGAGGGGGGGAGAATTCTCCACAGTGTGTATTCTCTCTCTATCCCACCCTCTCCCAATATTGTCTCATTCTGTTATTCTCTCTCTCTCTCTTTCTCTCCAACTGTTATTCTCTCTTTCCCTCCAACTCACATTCCCGCCTCTAATCTGCTATTTAAGTGCTTTGAAACTCTGCCAACCGTGTGAAGAGTGCTATATAAATGCAAGTTGTTGTTGAAACAGTTGACAGTGACAGTTCCTTGTGTGCACTGAGCTACCAGTAGCCCAGAGCCAATGCTCAAACCATCAGAAAACCAGTCCCTACAGAGAGACTCGCAGTGAGGGAGGGAGGGAAGTCGGTGGACCAGAGCCTTCCCTCCGACCTCCCCCTGTGAGTTCACAACCCAGATCTCGGTCCCTTTGCACACCAGCCCCTCGCACACCACTCCCTCGTCCCTGGCACACCAGCCCTCCATCCCGTCACATGGCAGCTGTAACCAGCGATGGCTTTCTCCTCATGGACAAATAATGAGAAGAGAAAAGGAATAAGCTCATAATGTGAGGGTTTGTGCCCACGCCGGACAGCTCCCAGCGAGCTCGTTCATGTGTGAGCAACTCGTGGAGCCAGCCCTAATCCCGCAGCCGCAGCCTGCAGTTTGCTTCCATTCTTGTCCTTAAAGGGAAAGCTCCTCCATTGGGGCTCGGTCGCTGCCTGGGAGTCGGGATGGTTGTGGATTTGAGGCCGACAGCCCAAGCTGACACTCCGGTGCGATGAACGTAGGAACAGGAGGAGGCCATTCAGCCCCTCGAGCCTGTTCCGCCGTTCTGTTGGGTCGCGGCTGATCTGTATCTACAATGATGCCGCGGGGGTGGTGGTGGGGGGGGGGAGGGGGGTAGGGAAGGAGCCACGTTCATTCACTATCGAGGGTGTTCAAGCGCTCTGGGGCGCGATTTAAGTGCAAGTTGTTGTAGTTGTTGTTGAGCGACCGGCTGCAGACCAGGGAAATGTGTGGCTGGGGTTTGAAGCCGGCCTGATAATAAGGGAAGTCCCAGCGGACGGTTTCAAACAAAACCCTTCGGCACACATTAAACACTTCACACCCGATTAACAGCTACTTAACAGTTTAACGATTGGCTAATAAAGGCGGGGAGAGATTGATCTCTGTGGCCAATAATAATCCAGTGGGGATGAGAGGGGAATGTCAGAGCCGTGCCCTCACTGGGGCCTCACTCTCCACCTCTTTACGCAGGCTTCTGGCTTTAATGGTTGATCCGCGCTGGTGCCCAGGTACGGTTTCCCCTGCAGGGCCACTGAGCATCCGCGCCATGGACTCACTCACTCGCTCACACTCGCTCGCTCGCTCACACGCACTTGCTTGCACACTCGCTCGATTGCTCACACTCACTTTCACGCAAGGCAAATATTGCGAGGTTTCAGTGTTGCGTTCCTTTTGATAATTATCCCGTTGCGAACACCTTTTGTAAGAAAAGCTGCCCATTGATCATCCGCTCTATTCCGCCGTATTGAATGATTCGCCCACAACATATACAGTCAATCCACTTTACGGTATATTCTCTGAAGCGCTTCGAGACGTCTCGAAGACGTGATAAGACGCTATATCAAATGCAAGGATTATTATTATTATTATAAAGTCAGGAAGTGTGCGTACGGGCGACCTTGGCCTGGGTTTGGTGCTAGTTACATGGTAGTTTACATGTGTCGTGATGTGTGTTGTATCACCTCAGTAAATGATTGACACCTTTTCTCAGACATTCTCAGGATCTCCCAGTCAGGTATTCATATCCCTGTGATTTAATAATAATAATAATGGCGTCCTTCACGTCCCCCACCTCGCCAGCCACACCATTGGCGGGCGGGCCTCCTGCCGCTCTGCCCCAACCTCTGGAACTCCATCCCGCGGTCCCTCTTCAAGACCCGTCTCAAGACCCTCCTCTTTGACCATGCCTTTGGACACCCTCCTCCCCCCGCCCCCCCTCCCACCGCGCCCTCCATCCTCCCCGATCCCAACCCCCAGCTTGTGTCCAAAATACTCACTGTTCAGCGCCTTGGGACGTCCTCCTGAAAGGCACTATACAAATGTAATTTGGTTGTCGTTGCCCGGGAATCAAACCCAGGTCGTCTCGTTTGCGATGCAAATGCTCTAACCAACGGATTACAGGACCCCGTGATTCGACGCATGTCTGAGACCCTTTTGTGTCACTGACTTGTCAGCGGCCTCAGCCACTCATGTTCTCCTCTCTGGAGTCGGGAGATTGTGGGTTTGAGCCCCAAATTGAGAACTTTCAGCTCACAGTCCAGGCTGACGCTCCAGCGTAGTCCTGGGTGGGAAGGTGGGGGGTTTGGGGTGGGGTGGGGGGGGCGTCTATTGTCTGAGACGCCGTTCTTTCGGTGAGATGTTAAACCGAGCTGCCGTGTTCAGGTGAAGGGGGTTAGGCAGGGAGCGGCTGAAGGCACAGCCACCGAGGGAAACTCGGGATTAGAGACACGAGGATTTTTGTTTATTCTTTATTTATTATCTTGATTTATTGATTTATTGATTGATTGTGGAGAAGCTCTCCGAGTCATTGCCTGGCTCTGTGACTGTGCCCGAGTCAGTCACAGTGGCCCCAGGAACCAGCTCCTCGGGCAGAATTAAACCCGGTTTAATCCCAGATCAGGAAAGTCAAGTCTGTGTCTCGGCACGTCAAGAGTCACAACACTCGCTCGCTCGCCAACTTCACTTACTCGGCATTTAACTGGAGCTGTGAGGGCGTGTGTGTGTGTGTGTGTGTGTGTGTGCCACTATGCCCCGAAACTCTGGAACTCTTTCCCTCAAACCCTCCGTTTTGCCCCTTCCTCCCTCATTTTTGGGTCGCGTCTGGAGACTTCTCTTTAACCGTTTCAGTTCCCTCCACCCCCCTCTCCCCCCACCACTCCCCACCCCAGCTCGGGATTATGTTCTGCCACAGACAAGCTCTCTGGGACACTACCCTGGGGCACGATATAAATGCAAGTGGTTGTGTGTGTGTCTGGGTGATCCTATGTGTGTTTGTGTGTCCTTATTCCTGTGTGTGTGTGATAGTAAGAAGTGAGGGAATTCAGAGCCGGATTGGGAAAATCAGCCTCTTTGGTGTATGAGGCTCGACCGGGGTGACTGAGCTACACGAGGCGATGAGGAGAGTAAAGCCAGTGTATGTCAGTATGGTGGGGGCGGGTGAGGAGAGCGTACACTTTGTGACAGTCTATAACTTGTTTCTTGCCCGAATCATCAGAGAAACATGTTCTACAAAACAGCGCCTTCACCTCCCTCCCGGACACAGCCTCTCCCCCCTCTCCCTCCCTGTGGGGAGGAGCTCAGTACTGGTTGGGGTGTGCGGGACATGCGCTTTGATCTTGTGTTGGACTGAGCTGGCTATGTCTGTAAATCCCTCGCTCACTAATCCAATAATCCAATCTGCCGCAAACGCCTGAGGACATCATCCACACCCGCCATTCCGCTCCACGTTTCACAGTGTTTTGTGAGCTCCCTCGTCTCACGGTGGGGAGATTGAGCCCCCACCCCTCGGAGGCGACTCTGAGCTCACAGTCCGGGCTGACGCTCCAGCGCAGAGCTGGGGGGAGCCACCGCATTGCCAGAGACGCCATCCTTCAGATGAGCCATTGAACCTCAGTCCCCATCTGCGCCGTGTTCCGGCAGACATTAATGATCTCCCACGGCACTGTCAGGAAAGCAGAAGTCAGTTTTCTCTTTCTCTTTTCTCTTTCTCTCCCTCGCTCTCCCGGTGTCCTGGCCAACAATCACCCCCTCATTTCTGTGTGCAAATTGTTGTCGCACGTTCACCTACAAATCCACAGTCACTACACTTGTGGCCAATTCCGCTGTGTTGTGCTTTGTGATGTTTAAAAGGCAATAAAAAACGCCATCTTTCTCCCCGGCGACTGCAAAGATGTTTTAATTTTTGTTTTTGAATTTTTTAAATTAAAATCGAGTTGAGTCTTGTTCCAGGAGAGATATTTTGTGCGGACTTTGCAAAAAGCCTTGCCCCACCCGGCTGCCACGTTCACCAAAGACACAGTCACTACACTTGACTAGTTTTTAAAAGAATCTTGTGAAGCGCTTCCAGACATGCGCGGGACCTGAAAGGCGCTGTGTAAATGTGAACTGCGCTGTACAGTTATTCATGCGCTGAAGCCATTCAGTTTTAAAGACTGAGGTGGATAGATGTTTGTTAGGTCAGGGTATCAAGGGATATGGGGCAAAAAGCGGGTAATTGGAGTTGAGAAACAGATCAGCCATGAACTTATAGAATGGCGGAACAGGCTCGAGGGACTGAATGGCCTCCTCCTGTTCCTACGTATTCTCATTAGCTTTCCTTCTGTTGTTCGGTTGAGGACGTTTCTAACTAAACACTTTCATTTTATTTCAGGAATGGGTTCCACGAAGGAAACTGTGTTTGCTCCCTCTACACCATCACCCACCACACAGGGCGCCCCAGGTTCGTCACCCAGCACCCACTGGAGCTCGCTACTCTAACCCCATTCCCTGCTCTCTCCCCGTCGTGTCTGTGCTGGGGCTCGCTCCCCAGTGGGAATCTGTGTGTGTGTGTGTGGAGATGAGTGTGAGAGTGTTTGTATGTGAATGTGCATGTGTTTGAGCAAATGTGCGTGAATGAGTGTTTATGAATGTTTGTGTGTAAGAGAGCATGTGAGTTTGCGTGTGTGAGTATGTGCATTTGTATGCGAGTAAGGGTGCGTAAATGAGTGTATGTGTGTAAGTGTGTGTGAGTATATGATGCCAGTCTCAATAACATTCCCTCTTTAACATGTCTGAAACTACTAATAGGAGCCAGATTGGGGAAAGGGACAGTTGAGGGAGGGGGAAGGTGGGGGGGGGGGGAAGAGGTCAGGGGAACGAGTAGGGTTCAGACGCTAGTGCTGGGGAAGAGGGGGCGGGGGGGTGCACAGGTGGCTCGTGTCTGCTGAGTGACGGTTATTCATGTGCAAGAGTTAGCGGCCATCAGACACACTCGTATATTTCCCTCTTTTCATGTCAGCCAGCCGAGCTCAGCAGCCTGACTGCAGACAGAGAGGCCACAAGCTTGTGGGGGGTGGAGGGGGTGGTGGTGGCAGGCAGGGAGGGAGCGAGGGGGGCTTCAAAGTCAAGGGGCTTGAGGTTCATAAATCTCAAGCAAAGGAGCTGGCAGTGAGAGAGAGAGAGAGAGAGAGAGATTTGAAACAAGCCGAAAACGAGCTGAGATTTCTCCAGGAAATCCCGTGGCTGGGACAAGCCGGGTTTATTTAGGGAGTACAGTATTCCCGGCTCACGGTCACTCACTTTCACTGCGTTCCGTAACCCTCTCTGGGATCCCGCAACTCAATTTCGCTTTGGCTCAGGGAGGAGCCACTCTGCTCCCCATCCTCACTCAGCGCTCACTCCTTCTCATCCACTAACTCATTCCTTCTTCTCAGCACTTCAATTGTCTGCTCTCCTCACCTCCCTTCAATCTGCCCTTCTTCCAACTCTCTACAGCTCTCCTCACCTCCCCATCTCTCTCTCTCTCTCTCTCTCTCTAACCTCTGCAATGTAGATCCTGCGTTTCTCTATGGTAATATAAGAAGTAGAACCAACCCCCCACCCCCACCCTCCCCTCTCAGTACTTTGCCTAGTGGTGGCCAATGTAAAGAGAGAGCTTCCTCTCTCTCTCTCGCTCTCCAGCTCTGGGCTGAAGGAGTCAGTGAATAAGGTTCCAGTTACACACGTAATGTGATGCATCTTCAGGACTGGGGCCAGACCACTCGCTCGCTCACTCGCTAAGCCTTTCTCTGGACTCAGTGTAAACTGCACCATTACTTCACCCGTCTTTAAGCCCTGCTTCACATACGGCTGATGTACCCTTACTCCTGTGGGAGTGTGGGTGGAGCGATTTCATGTTGTTCCCCCTTCCCTCCCGCTCCGCGCCCCTACCTCCCCCACAAAAGATACAGTCAATCTATTTCACAGTATATTCTGTGAAGCATTTTGAGATGTCTCGACAACATGCTAAGGCGCTAGTATTATTGTATCAACTGCAAGGGATCATTATTATTATCGCTTTGTTGGCAACGTGTCAGCCACTCGCACACTCAATGGGTCAGGAGGTTGTGGGTTTGAGCCCCCAATCCAGAGGCTTTGAGCTCGTAGTCAAGGTGGGGGTGGGTTGAGGTGCTGTGTTGTCTGAGACGCTGTCCTTTGGATGAGATGTTAAACCTCACTGCCATCTGTGTACTGTTCAGGCGGACGTTAAAGATCTCCGAGGCATTGTTGGGAAAGAGAAGGGAGTTTCCCTCTCTCTCCTGGTGTCCTGGCCAACAATCTCCCCACCCCCCACCCCCCCAGATAAAATCACTCGCTCACTTCATGGCTGCTTGCGGGACATTGCACAAACTGGACTGCCACCTATAAAATACACCACACTTTATAGTAAAATCCTGTCAAGCGCTGTGAGACGCCTCAGCGATGTGATAAGATATTGTATCAAATGGAAGAATTATGCTAACAACAGCAATTTATACAGCGGCCCTCTCACAGGGCAGCACTTAATAATAATAATAATTATCACTATTGGGAGATCGCCCTGAGGGGGCGTCGAAACTGAGAACCAACTTAACCACGGAAAAAATATGTATTTTCTTAGAAATCAGATCCTTTAAGCCCCCTCCCCTCCCACCCCGTAATGGTGCTGTGTAGCTGCGAGTTGTTAAAACAATAATAATCCTGGCATTTGATACAGCGCCTTATCACGTCTTCGAGACATCCCAGCCCGCTTCACAGAATATACTGTAAAGTGAATGGACTGTATATTTTGTGGGGGAAACATTGCAGCCAGTTGTCCCCCAAACAGTCGTGGATTAAGTGACCAAATTATTATTATTATGTTTTTATTTATTTTTCGTAGGGATTATTACCCCCGGAAAGCGATCCGCCAATCGACTAACAACCAGGTTCCTATTTACTGCTAAGTAAATGGGCATGTGGAGTAAGGAAACTTGCCCAATGTTTTGTTCTGCCCGGGAATTGAACCCAGTTCCTCTCGCTTGCGAGGCGAGTGCTCTTACCCTTAAGCTTCCAGGACTCCAGTTGTTGTTGTTTTATTGAAAGCTTTTGTAGTGGCGGTTCTGGCTGGCGGGGCGGGGAGGAGAGGAGAGGGGTCGGGATGGGGAGCAGACGGTAGGGATTGTTAGTCAGGAGATGGGAAAAGTGCAGGGTTTTGGTTTAAGAGTGAAACAAAGAGCGAGTTGTTCTGGGGTTAAATTCCACCCGGAGCAGTGCAGGGGGACTGAGGGAGGCCGGCTTCAGTACCGAGTTGGCGGTCAGGGTTTTCCAGTGTAATCGTTCACTGTGTGATCCACTCGGTGGTGGGGGGGCGGGGGGGGGGGGGTGAGGCTGTGCTGAGAGAGAAGATGGGCAGAGAGAGAGAGAGAGAGAGAGAGAGACGCTGTGAGAGAGAGGCTGTGTGTGTTTGTGTGAGAGACGCTGTGTGTGTGAGATGGTGTGTATGAGATGCTGTGTGTGTGTGTGTGTGTGTGAGAGATGCTGTGTGTGTGTGAGAGATGCTGTGTGTGTGTGTGAGACGCTGTGTGTTTGTGTGAGATGGTGTGTGTGAGATGCGGTGTGTGTGTGTGTGTGTGTGTGTGAGATGCTGTGTGTGTGAGATGCTGTGTGTGTGTGTGTGTGTGAGAGATGCTGTGTGTGTGTGAGAGATGCTGTGTGTGTGTGAGACGCTGTGTGTTTGTGTGAGATGGTGTGTGTGAGATGCGGTGTGTGTGTGTGTGTGTGTGTGTGTGTGTGAGATGCTGTGTGTGTGAGATGCTGTGTGTGTGTGTGTGTGTGAGAGATGCTGTGTGTGTGTGAGACGCTGTGTGTTTGTGTGAGATGGTGTGTGTGAGATGCGGTGTGTGTGTGTGTGTGTGTGTGTGAGATGCTGTGTGTGTGAGATGCTGTGTGTGTGTGTGTGTGTGAGAGATGCTGTGTGTGTGTGAGAGATGCTGTGTGTGTGTGAGACGCTGTGTGTTTGTGTGAGATGGTGTGTGTGAGATGCGGTGTGTGTGTGTGTGTGTGTGTGTGTGTGAGATGCTGTGTGTGTGAGATGCTGTGTGTGTGTGTGTGAGAGATGCTGTGTGTGTGTGAGACGCTGTGTGTTTGTGTGAGATGGTGTGTGTGAGATGCGGTGTGTGTGTGTGTGTGTGTGAGATGCTGTGTGTGTGAGATGCTGTGTGTGTGTGTGTGAGAGATGCTGTGTGTGTGTGAGACGCTGTGTGTTTGTGTGAGATGGTGTGTGTGAGATGCGGTGTGTGTGTGTGTGTGTGCGCGTGTTTGTGTGTGAGAGACGCTGTGCATGTGAGATGCTGACCTGATGGCTTGTGCCTGTAGAATTCTTTCTAACCCTACACGAGCCAATGAACAACATCACCACGTCGCTGGGGCAGACGGCTGAGCTGTACTGTAAAGTGTCGGGGAACCCAGCGCCTTCCATCCGGTGGCTGAAGAACGATGCTCCGGTGGTGCAGGAGCCTCGGAGGATCTCGTACCGGATCACCACGTACGGCTCCCGACTCCGCATCCGCAACCTGGACACAACGGACACTGGCTACTTCCAGTGCGTGGCTACCAATGGCAGGAAGTCCGTCTCCACCACAGGCGTGCTCTTCGTCAAGTTCGGTAAGCTGAGGCATGTTGTCCTGGCAACAGCCCCCCCATCCGCCCGCCACCCCCTCTTCGCTCAACCCCTCTCCAAACCCCCTCCTCGAACCCCCCCCCCCACTCTCCAACACCTCACACAGCTCCCCTGTCCGCCATCCATTCCCCTAACTCCTCTCCTTGCACAGACCCTCCCCCAATCACCCCTCCCCAAGACCCCCCCCCACCGCTTTTCCCCCCAATCCATCGCTCAAATCCTCCTCAAGGTCCGTCTGAAGACCCTCCTCTTCATCTGTATCGTCAGTCAACCTCCTGCCCCTACCCTCCCTGACCTCCACCCCTCCTGTTCCCAAGCCCCCTCTTAGGTTCGAATCCCTAACTGCCCAGCGCCTTGGGACGTCCTCCTGACATGAAAGGCGCTCTGCAAATGTGATGTGTTGTTGTTGAAGCCATTGCTTGTGTTTTTCCCTCCAGGGCCCCCGCCGACTCCCAATTCCGGAAAGTCCACACAGTGAGTGTATTCCCGTTTGTGCTCTGTCTAGCCTCTCATGTTTGCAGCGTGTGTATTACAGCCCGAGAGACCAACCCCACCCCCCCCCCCCAGCTGGCCACAGCTCCCTCCCCACGCGGACGCACTACGATGTGCGTGTCAGTTGCATAGAATAGCGTCCTCTGTGGCTGCTGATGATATATCACACCCCTCCCCTGTTCTCTCACCCTCCCTGGGGGGACTGGTTTTGTCTGGGATGGAGGTGGAGTGGGGGGGGGAGAAGCTTGTCCCCATGACGGGTGGGAGTGGGGGATTTAATCCAGTGCCTATTACACCAAAATTGTCACGGTAATCAATACAGCAGGTAACTTACAACGCAGCGACCTTCCGCGCACACTCGTGATGTGAGTGAGTGATCTTATCCGGAGTTGAGGGGACTGTAGACCAGGACCCTGGAAGAGAGAGAGAGAGAAACTCTACTCCCGATAGCACCGTGGGAGATCTTTAACGTCTACTTGAACAGGGCGTAGACAGGGAGTGAGGTTTAACGTCTCATCCGACCTTGCCGATGCAGTCCCCCCCCCCCACCACCACCACCCCGCCTTCGTTGGAGCGTCAGCCCGGACCGTGAGTTGAAAATCCTCGGCACACAATTCCTGAGGGTTGCAGGATGTGCTGTAATCTCCCCCCCACCCCCCGGGGGAGCCTCTCTGAGCACTTTACCAGACGCTACCGTTGCCTGATGTAAAGTGATCAGTGCCGAAGGGATTGGTTGCTTCCGGCTGTTTGATGTGGGGCCGAGAGGGTGTCAGACAGCGGGACATCACTGGCTCCCGGTGCTCAGGGCTGGAGCTGCTCCGACCAACGCTGTGAGGTGAACGTAGAGGCCTGCAGCTTGTAGTGGTTAGAGCACTCGCCTCGCAAGCGAGAGGACCTGGGTTCGATTCCCCGGCAGGGCGAAGCGTTGGGCAAGTTTCCTCACTCCACACACCTTACTCTCTGTTTACCCGCAGCAAGTAGGAACCCAGTTGTTAGTCGATATTGGCGGATTTTTTTCCGGGTTTAATAATCCCTTCAAAAAAATAACAATTATAATTTGGCCACTGTTTGTGGGACACTGCTTTGTGCAAATTCCATCCGCGTTTTGCCCCCAAAATATACAAGCAATTCACTTTAGAGTATATTGAAGCGCTTTGAGGCGTCTCGACGACGTGATAAGGCCTCATATCAAATGCAAGGATTATTATTATTATATTGTTCATAAAGGCCTTAACCGAGTTGGGGTCAAACATTTTAATCAGTTTCATTTGGCACTCCATCCCACAGTCCCTTCACCTCACTCCCTCCCTTGCCTCCTTCAAAGCACGTCTCAAGACCAACCTCCTAACCCCAACCCCCCCTCCCCGCCCTTAACCAAAACTGATCCCAACCCCCGGCTCAGGTCCAAATCACCGACTGTGCAAGGCCTTGGGACGTCTTCCCAACGTGAAAGTCACTGTGTAAATGTCATTTGTTGTTGTTGTATAGAGCGTGGGTTCGAACCCCACGTTGGGAACTCTGATGCTCCAGCCCAGTGCTGGGGGGAGAGAGTGCCATATAGTCAGAGACGCTGTCCTTCAGTTGAGACATTACCTCACAGGGTTCATTGGTGCCCTGTTCAGGCGGACGTTAAAGATCTCCCACGGCATTGCAGGAACTGAGAAGGGAGTTTCTCTCTCTCTCTCTCTCTCCTGGTGTCCTGGCCGACCATCCCCCGGAATGAAATCACTCGCTCGCTTTGTGGCTGTTTGCGGAGATTTGCTGTCTGTAAATCCTCTGCCTCAACGGTCACTACACTTGACAGCGAGTCCCTGTGAAGTGCTTTGAGGTGTTTTGATGTAATAATATTTATGACAAATTTTCCCCCTGAGAGGGATCACCCGCTCCCCAAGCTCTTGCCTGTAACTCTAGATGCCTCATCAGTGCAGAGAGCTCAGAGAGCCAGTGGTGCCGGCCGGGCAGGAATGTTCATTTGAAAGAGTTTAGGGTTAACCTTGGGCTGTGTTTATGATGGTGTTAGAGCCGGATTAGATGTTACAAAGCAGGAGAGTGAGACTGCACGTCACGCCAGCCTTTCCCGGCCTCTGCAACTGATACCTTTGACTAATGAAGGATTAATGGACGAGAAAGTCGGTGCGTTTCAGCCTCTCTGAGCTACGATGGTCTCTGAATCCCCCTCACTATTCCCATGTGCACTGCCCGAGGCTGGGCTGCAAGACACACAGTCACTACACGACACAGTGTAGAGGTGTAGTGGGAGTCCTGTAGGTCAGTGGTAAGAGCACTCGCCTCTCAAAACGAGAGGACCTGGGTTTGATTCCCGGGCAGGGTGAAACGTTGGGCAAATTTCCTTACTGCACACGCCTCTGTTTAGCGAGCAGTAAGTAGGAACATGGCTGTTAGTCGTTGGCCTGATCGCTTTTCTGGGGGTAATAAAGCCTTCAAAAAAATAATGATTTGGCCACTCAATCGACTGTTTTGTGGGGACGCTGCTGTGCATAATTGGCTGCCGCGTTTCGTCCATAAAATACAATCAATTCACTTTACAGTATATCCTGTGAAGCGCTCTGAGGCTGCTCGAAGACGTAATGAGGCACTGTATCAAACGCAAGGATTATTATTTTTGTTGTTGGGCCGTGGGATCTTTTACGTCCGAACAGGCAAACGGGGAGCTCAGTTTAGCGAAGGATCGCGTCTCCAACAATGCAACGCCCCCCCCACCCCACCACCACCACCACCACGCAGCACTGGGTGGGTTCAAGTCCCGACGTGGGGGCTTGAACCCACTATCTTCTGATTCAGAGCGCTCAACTGAGCCAGGCTGACACAGAGGGAAGTGGGAACGCTTTTGCCTTTAAGAGACGCTGTCTTGAGGCGTTCCCTGATGCTCCATGCTTGGCTGACGTGCTCCCTCCCCCTCCCAAGTGGGGTGGGGGGGGGAGAGGGGGCATGTCAGACAAGGGTGGAGCATCAGGCAACGGCTTGAAACCCCCCCACCTCCCCTCCCGTCCGCCCAGTCTCCCGGGCTGTGTGTAACATGTTACTGCCATGTCTGTGGTCAGGAGGCAGCCAGTGAGTCAGTGTGTGAAGAGCGTGGAGACAGTTTGGAGTCCACTGGCGCTGTGTGGAGTGCGAGTCGGTCACGCTCCATTCTGCCTCGTCATCACTTTCTTTTTTCTTTCTTTTTCTTCCTCTCTCGCCTCCTTTCCCTGACTCGTTCGCTCCCTCTCTCCCTCGCTCACTCACTCAAGCTCTCTCTCACACACACACACATGCTCTCACCCTTTTTCTCCCGCTCCCTGCATCTCTCTCCCTCCATCTTCCTTCCCCCCCACCCCACCCCCCCATTTCTCTCTCATTCTTTTCTCTCTCACATGCTCTCTCCCTTGAGATTCACGGTTTAAAGAACTTATATCATCTCCGTGTGTGTGATTCAGGTTGCGTCCATCTGGTTTGCCCTCAAATAACACATGCAGATCAGCGCCCCTCCCCACATCCCTACCCCCCCTTCATCTCCCGCCACCGCCCCCCCCCCCCCCCCCGTCGCTGTCTGTGCCTCCTCACCATGAGGGGGAGGAGGAGGGGGAATGGGGAGACTGGGGGTGGCGGGTGGATGGGGTCTGTATGACTTCAGTCTCATTATTAAAAAAATACTAACCTGTGCATCCGACCCAGCGCCTTTCATGTCGGGAGCACTTCTCAAAGCGCTTCACAATATTCAGCGTAAAGTGTAGTAACTGTGGGCGAAACATGGCTGCCGATTTGCACGCAGCGACATCCCGCAAACAGCCGTGAAGCGAGTGCGTTGGCGAGCGAGGGATATTATCTGGAGGATTGTCAGCCAGGACCCCGTGAGAGAGAGCGAGAGAAATTCCCTTCTCTGGCCCCGGTTAGACTCAGCCCTCTTGTCCGGGGGGGGGGGGGGATATTTATTTATTAATTTATAGCACAGTTTGACACGAGGCTGTAACTCTCGCTCGCCTCCTTTATTCGTATTTTTCTTATGAAAAAAATTAATTTTTTCAAGATGTTTTGAGCGGCGCAGAGTGTAACCGTGTGGCGCCCCCTGGCGCCCGCTCTGGGGGCCACTGGCAACCAAGGACTTTGGTTCTTTACCCTTAGAGCTCCGGCAACGCACGGGAATGCGCTACTCTCCAGCTCGCTCACTTGTTCATTTGCTTACCCGCGCCTCAGTCGCTGCTCATTCACTCACTGGCTCGCTTGCTCACTCACTCGCTCACTCATTCGCTCACTCCTGACTCACTGTGCTGTGTGGTGTTGCTCTTGCTAATCCCCAGAGTGATCTATGAGGAGGACGGCTTCTGCCAGCCGTACCGAGGCATCGCCTGCGCCCGCTTCATCGCCAACCGCAGCATCTACGTGGACTCCTTACAGATGCAGGGAGAGATCGAGAACCAGATCACAGGTCAGTCAGGCTGCTCACTGCGAGTGTGGATGGACAACGTAGAGGGAACTTTACTCTAGTCTCTAACCCTGACCTGGGAGTGTGGACGGACAGTGTAGAGGGAGCTTTACTCTGTCTCTTAACGGTGAGATGTCCTCCCCATGCCTCTGAAGCAGACGTCATTGTCATTGTTGTTTGGGTGTTGATGATGATGATGATATTGATGTTCCGCAGCTGCCTTCACCATGATCGGGACTTCTAACCACCTGACGGACCGTTGCTCGCAGTTTGCCATCCCCTCGCTGTGCCACTTTGCGTTCCCGTACTGCGAGGAGACCTCAGGGCTGCCCAAGCCACGGGACCTGTGCCGGGACGAGTGTGAGATCCTGGAGAACGACCTGTGTAAAGCCGAGTACATCTTCGCCCGCTCCAACCCCCTCATCCTCATGCGGCTCAAACTGCCCAACTGTGAGGACTTGCCCCTGCCCGACAGCCCAGAGGCCAGCACCTGTATGAGGATCGGCATCCCCATGGCGGAGCCCATCAACAAGAGTAAGGAGCCTCCCGCCCAGGCTGTCACACCCCACCCCACACCCGCCTCTCACACAGCACCCCAACAACTCTCACACCCTGCACCCTAGTATCCTACATCATGCTCTCTCGCTCTCTCTCTATAGTCTCTTGCTCTCTGTTGGGCTCTGCCTCTCTCTCTCTCTCTCTCTCTCTCTCTCTCCTCTGTGCTCTCTCACTCTCTCTCTCTGCTATATTCTCTCCCTCTCTTTTGGGTGTTCTTTCTCTGTATCTCTCTCTGAGACACTCTCTCTCTCTTCCGCTGTGTTCTCTCCTCCCTCTGTTGCTCTTTCCGCTATGTTCCCATTCTCTCCTCTGTGCTCTCTCCTCTCTGTCTCTCTCTCTCCGCTGTGCTCTTTCTCTCCAAACGGTGCTCTCTAGCTCTCTCTATATATATATATTTCCACTGTGCTCTCTCTCTCTCTCTCTCTCCCCGCTATGCTCTTTCACTCTCTCCCTTGCGCTCGCTGTCTCCCCTGCTATGTGCTCTCTCACTGATTCTCTCTCTCACTGACCCCCCCTCTCTCTCTCTCTCTCTCTCTCTGTGTGCTCTTCACAGACCACAAGTGCTTTAACAGCAGTGGGCTGGAGTACCGGGGCACCGTCAGCATGACACGGTCAGGCCGGCAGTGCCAACCCTGGAACTCCCAGTACCCGCACAGCCACTCCTTTGCCGCGGGCCGCTACCCCGAGCTCAACGGTGGCCACTCCTACTGCCGCAATCCTGGCAATCACCGGGACGGGCCCTGGTGCTTCACCCTGGACGAGGCCGTCAAGATGGAGCTGTGTGAGATCCCATTGTGTGGTAAGGCCGTCTCAACCACTTGCGACCGTTTTGGGCTTGGTTTGGGGTGGGGGTGGGGGTGGGGTGTGTGTATGGGGAAAATCATGGCTTTGAGTCGCCTCCCATCCCCTTCCCCCCACCTGCCTTCGATTTCACGATCCTCTCACTCGTTTTCAAATGCCTTAATGCCGTGGCACCTCCTTATCTCATCGCCCCAACCCACTACCTGCTGCCTCCGCTCGACTGGCTCTGGCCTCCTGCATGTCCCTCGTGCCCTTCATTCCACCATTGGCGGCCACACTTTCAGGCACTATCAACCGAATCTCTTCCTCAATCCCTCCGCCCTAGCCCTTCCTTCCCCATCTTCAGGTTGCGCCTGAAGACCTTCCTATTCCACCGTGCCTACGGTCACCCCCTCTTCCCTCAGCTCGGTGTCGTGCTCCGCCACTGTCAAGCGCTCACTGTTGGCTTGGGTGAGTAATAATAATAATCACTCCCCCAATTTCCTTCAAAAAATTTGCTTACAAAAGACACAGTCTTCACAGTATATCCTGTGAAGCGCTTTGAGATGTCTCGTAGACGTGATAAGGTGCTATATCAAATGCAAGGATTACTATTATTATATTATTATATGTAACTCTCTTCCCAAACTAGACTCCAAAGAGGGCAGCAAGCTGCAGATCCTATACATCCTGGTGCCCAGTGTGGCCATACCCCTGGCCATCACCCTCCTCTTCTTCTTCATCTGTATCTGCCGCAACAACCACAAGGCCTCAGCACCGCCCGCTCAGCTTCAGCCCAAGCCTGTGCGAGGCCAGAACGTCGAGATGTCCATGCTCAACGCTTACAAACCAAAGGTGAGGAAAGGGTTAAACTCCTGGCCAGGAGAGTCGCTGGTTCAAACAACAGCAACAACAAGTGATATTTACACACTGCCTTTCACATCAGGAGGATGTCTCAAGGCGCTGGACAGTCAGGGATTTGGACATGAGCTGGGGGTTGGGATCAGGAGGGCTGGAGGGCAGGGAGTCTGGGGGTAGGAGGATGACCGAAGGCACAGTCAAAGAGGGGGTCTGAGACGGGGATTGAAGGAGGCAAGGGAGGGAGGGAGGGAGCGAGGTGAAGGGACTATGGGATGGAGTTCCAAAGGGTAGGGGCAAAGAGGCTGAATGTCGGAGTTTATCACCTCTCCAACCTCCCAACCCCCTACCAACCTGTTCGCTCCCTCCGCTCAGTGGGCTCCGGCCTGCTTCATGTCCCCCGCCTTGCTCGCCCCACTATCGGCGGGCGGGTCTCCGCCACTCTGCATCCACCTTCTTGAACCTCATCCCACAGTCCCTCCGTCTTGCCCCTCCCTCACCACCTTCAAGACCCACCTCAAGACCCTCCTCTTCGACCGTGCTTTCGATCTCCCTGCTTCCCCCCCTGCCCTCCCCCCCTGCCCTCGCCCCTTCCTACCCCGACCCTCAGCTCAGGTCCATAACTCTGTCTGTCCAGCACCTTGGGACGTCCTCCTGACGTGAAAGGTGCTATACAAATGAAATTTTGTCGTCGTTGTTGTTTGAGCTCACAGTCCAGGCTGACACTCCAGCACAGTACTGGGGGAGTGAGCGCTGTCTTGTCTCAAGCGCGGTCCTCCAACTAAGACTTTAAACCACAGAGTAGAGAGCTCCAGTGGGGGAGCGAGTACCAGCACAGACACGATGGGGAGAGAGAGCAGGGAATGGGATTAGAGTAGAGAGCTCCAGTGGGGGAGCGAGCACCAGCACAGACACGATGGGTGAATGGGCTTCTCATGCGGTGTAAACTCTCTGTGAAGAGGAGCCTTTACACTCAGCGCTCCACCATAAGTAAACACCATAAAGTAAACACTGAGACAGCAGCCAGTGTGTATCACCACTCGGTCATTATTTAGAAGACGTCAAAACAGCCAGACAGAATTACTTATCCTGCCTCTGCTGCTTTACACAAAGCTCTTCGGTCAGACGCCAACAAGACATCGACCTGTCACCCTGAGACCTGACATGTCACGTTCCTCCCCTCAAGTCGGTGTACTTCTCAGGATTCACTGTAAAGTGGAGCGACTGTGTATTTTGTGGTTGAACACGGCAGCCAATTGCGCACGGCAGTGTTCCACAGACAGCCGTGGATTGAGTGATCACATTATTATTAGTTTTGGGAGGGATTATTAATAATAACACTGGGAGGACGTCCCAAAGCGCTTCCCAGTATTCCCTGTAAAATGCAGTGACTGTGCGTTTTGTGGGTGAGAGTGGCAGGCAGTTTGTTCACAGCGACATCTCCCCAAACAGGCGTGAAATTCAGAGAGGGATTGTATGTGGGTTTGTCGGCCGAGACTCTGGAGAGAGATAGAGAGAAACCATCTTTACAACAATATATGATAGTCTGAGCAGTGTTGGCCTTTGGATGAGACATTCAACTGAGTCCCTGTCTCTGCTTGTCACACGGGGTCCACAGTCCACTCCCATTCCCTATTGTTCAAACATTCCCTCCCTCCGCCTCTCTCCTTCTCCTAGTTTCCTGCCTGGAGCCTAACTCCCATCTCTCCCTCTCTCTCCCCCCACCCCATCAGAGCAAAGCCAAGGAGCTGCCTCTGTCCGCGGTGCGGTTCATGGAGGAGCTGGGCGAGTGCGCTTTCGGGAAGATCTACAAAGGCCACCTGTACTTGCCAGGGATGGAGCACGCCCAACTGCTGGCCATCAAGACCCTGAAGGAGTATGGCAACCCCCAGCTGTGGGCCGACTTCCAGCAGGAGGCTTCGCTGATGGCCGAGCTCCATCACCCCAACGTGGTGTGCCTGCTGGGTGTGGTGACCCAGGAACAGCCCGTCTGCCTGCTCTTCGAGTACCTGAGCCTGGGAGACCTGCATGAGTTCCTCATCATGAGGTCCCCGCACTCTGACATCGGTTGCAGCAGCGACGAGGACGGGACGGTCAGGTCAGGGCTTGACCACGCCGACTTCCTGCACATCTCCATCCAGATTGCGGCCGGCATGGACTACCTGGCCGGACGCTATTTCGTCCACAAGGACCTGGCCGCCCGCAACATCATTGTGGGCGAGCAGCTGAGGGTGAAGATCTCTGACCTGGGCTTGTCCAGGGAGATCTATGCGGCCGATTACTTCCGCGTCCAGAACAAGTCGCTGCTGCCCATCCGCTGGATGCCACCGGAGGCCATTCTGTACGGCAAGTTTTCCACCGACTCGGACGTGTGGTCCTTCGGCGTGGTGCTGTGGGAGATCTTCAGCTTCGGGCTGCAGCCTTACTACGGCTTCTCCAACCAGGAGGTGATCGAGATGGTGCGCAAGCGCCAGGTGCTGCCGTGCCCCGAGGACTGCCCACCCAGGATGTATGAGCTGATGGCGGAGACCTGGCACGAGATGCCCGCCAGGCGGCCGCACTTCAAGGACCTCCACGCCCGCCTGCGCTCCTGGGAGGGGCTGAGCTCCCACACCAGCTCCACCACCCCCTCGGGGGGCAACGCCACCACTCAGACCACCTCGCTGAGCGCCAGCCCGGTCAGCAACCTCAGCGCCGCCCGCTTCCCGGTGCACATCTACCAGCCCACGGGGCTCACCCAGACCCAGGTGGGGGGGCTGGTGGCCCAGGCCAGGGGGCAACACCAACGCTTCATCCAAGTCAACAGTTACCCGGTGCCCCCCGGCTACGCAGCATATGCGGCCGCCCACTACCAGCCGGGGCCCCCGCCGAGGGTCATGGCGCACGGACCACCTCCCAAGAGCCGCTCGCCCAGCAGCGGGAGCGGCTCCACCAGCACCGGCCACCTGACCAGCTTGCCCTCCTCGGGCTCGGCCCACGACGCCAGCACCCCCCTCCTCTCTCACCACCTCTCCGTGTCCGGACACCTGGCGAGCGCCACCATGCCCCTCTTCACTCACATATCGCACAAAGCCGTGCCTGTGGACTGCCCGTTGGGGGAGGGCGAGGGGCACATGCTCCCCACCTCCGAGCTCGGCCCCCGAGAACTGTAACGTCAGCCATGTAAATGTTATATATTATATAGAGAGAGATCCCACCCTCCCCCCGCACACACACACACACACACTCGGGGGGCCTCGCTTGCTCCCTCGCTCTCTCTCTCTCTCTCTCTCTGATGGTTTGTAATTATGTATAATCTGATTTTTTATATATATATAAAAATAGGGAGTGAGTGAGTGTAAAAAAAAAACGAAAAAAATTCCGAGGATTTTAGACTGTGAGGACAACTGGAGCCTGGGATTGTGTAATCCCACTGTACCCCATGCTGTGGGGAGCACGGGGTAGGGGGGGATAAGGGGGAAGTGCCTAAGGTTGGGGGGGGGGAGTGTGTGAGACGGGCTCGACCTCCCCCGGGACACAATTGTTGTGTTCGCACCCCACCCCCTCACCGCCCCCCCCCCCCCCACCCCCACACTCACCCACCCCGATTCCAATTTTTTAAAATATGAAGATTAAAATGTCACAGTATATTTGTTGCTAGGCAACTATTTAATACGGGGGGCGGGGGGGGTGAGTGCCCTGGTCGGGGGGGGGGTGCGGGGTGGGGAGAGAGAGGAGGGGCGGTGCGTGGGGGGGGAAAGAGAGAGCGCAAATGACAATCAGTCGAGTTTTTGAGAGTGGGGATAGTTGGGCTGAATGAAAGAATTGGGGGGGGAGAGGGTAACCTGGAGCGGGGGGGGTGCGGGTGTGGGGGTAGGAATGTGGCCCCTCTGAGAGTCACAGCTGATTGATGCTCAGTTGTGGGGGGGGGGGGACAACAAACCCCTGAGGCCCCCCTTGTCTGGGAAGCCAGGCATGTGGACAAACTCTCTCCTGTTTGTGAACAGCAACACATTACGTAGCGAAGCCGGCCAAGTTGTACAGATTTTTAGAATTTTTTTTAATATACAAATGAGCCCTCACCCCACCCTGTGTGTGTGTGTGTGTGTGTGTGTGTGTCTCCCCTTACCCCTTCTGTCTCTTCCCCCCACCCCACCGCCTCAAAATGGGGTGCGGACTGACTGTGAGCGAAGTCAGACTCACTCACCCATTCCTCTGTGACGAGTTCTATCATTGCTGTGAATGTGCGGATGAGACACGAGAGCCAGCAGGAGCCAGGCTAAGGCGGTCTCTGTCTTGTGTGTGTATTATTTGTTCAGTGGTTGTTGATGGGTCTATTATAACCCTGAACGTCAGGGCTCGATAGGCAGAGGGCGGGAGGGGATGGGACATGATTGGGAGAGGGAGTGGGGTGGTGGTGGGGGGGGGTGGGTGTTGATGGGAGGGAGAGGCCATATTGTAATAAGAATCCCTTCTGTATCTCAAAAATCAAATGTCTTTTTTGCACAAGAGATTTGAAGTTATTTTCGTACTTTGTGAAGTTTAAACCCACCCGTTTAAAGCTTGCGTTGCTTCCTTTCGCACGGACTGTCTCATTCAGTGTCACCGAGTCTTGTGTCTGCACCTATGACTGTGTGAGCGTCCCTTGACGGGACCCCACAAGCTGATTTCAATGCCCGCCGCACTGTTCCGTTTGGTTTGCCGCTTCCTTCTCTATTTTCAGATTGGGCCTGAAGACCTTCCTCTTCGACCGTGCTTACGGTCGCCTACCGCCTCCCCCCCGGCTCAGCGACGTGCTCCGCCACTGGCGAGCGCTCTGGGATGCTACCCTGTGTGAGGGATGCTGTGCAAATGCAAGTCGTTATTGTTTGATATTGTTGCATTTGAGTTTGCTTTCTTAAGTCATTGCGACGTCTTGCTGAGTCGCTGTGGACTGGAGAGTGTGAGAGCAGGTTCCCTCCAGCCCTGCTGGTCACCTACACACATACAATCACGCCACCCCCCCCCACACACACACATACACACACACACGCATACACACACGCACACACACACGCACACCCAACGCTGTTACGGAGCCGGATGCAGCAGCTCATCTGTGCCGTCGATGAGGTACAGATCAGCCGTGATCTAATTAAAATGGTGGAACAGGCTCGAGGGACTGAAACGCGTTCTCCTGTTCCTGTATGTTCCTATGAACTTGGGCAGACAGACTCCGCCAAACAGCGCAGCCTGAAAGCAACAAGTCCCACAGCGGCAGTGCTCGGTAACTAAACAGTGATCTTGTATCAAATACTAAATGTTGCGTGGTTAACCTGCACTAACTCTGCGCTAATTAACCTTCGCCAACTAATCTGCACTAATTAACCTCCAAACTAATTAACCTGCGCTAACTAACCTGCGCTAATTAACCTGCACTAACTGACCTGCGCTAACTGACCTGCACTAATTAACCTGCGCTAACTAACCTGCACTAACTAACCTGCGCTAACTAACCTGCGCTAACTGACCTGCACTAATTAACCTGCGCTAACTAACCTGCACTAACTAACCTGCGCTAACTGACCTGCGCTAACTAAGCTGCGCTAATTAACCTGCACTAATTAACCTGCGCTAACTAACCTGCGCTAACTAAGCTGCGCTAATTAACCTGCGCTAACTAACCTGCGCTAACTAACCTGCGCTAACTAACCTGCGCTAACTAACTGCACTAACTAACCTCCAACAACTAACCTCCGATAACTAGACCCAAAGTCTGAAGCAAACGCAGCAGTCGCTGGGAGCGCTCAGCAGGTCGGGGGCATCTATGGAGAAAGGAAAGTGAGTCAACGTTTCAGAATCCACGACCCTTCGATAAGGGTCGACGGAGGGGGTCATGGACCCGAAACCTCGACTCACTCTGATAACTAATGTGCGCAAACTAACCTCCGGTAATTAAACTCCGATAGAGAAACTCCCTGCAGCCCTGGCCGGGAGGCTGTGTTGAGGACTCAGCCTCTCAGTAAGATCACTTTACCTTCAGACGCTGCCCTGATCCCTTCTCCTCGGAGAAGAATGAAGCCCATTGAGTCTGCCATGTCGGCAGCCTATTGTGGGACCGCGCTGACGGAGGTGTCTTTAATAGGAACCAGGTCAACAGTGTCTGACCCCGTGTATTACATTTCATTGGCAGTTCATTGTGGACGGACAGAAACCTGCAGCGTGAAGTGACCGTCCTCTCACCCATCCGTTTCCAGTCACACACTGGGCTGGTTACAATCTTCCTCAAATCTATTTTATATTCTGTGAGGACCTCAGCAACTCCATCTTCCAATGGTGGGGAGAGGAGAGGAGGTGGGAAGTGATTGGTGGGAGGCCAAAGGTGGGACACAACTGAGTGTAGGCGGAAGGGAAGAAGGGAAGAGTGAGGGAGGTGAAGAGTGTAGGAGGAAGGGATGAATGAGTAAGGTGCGGAGTCCTGAGGTGTGGGAGAAAGGGAAGCATGAAGAAAGTGAGCAGACCTGGATGGTAGGATGAAGCAAACCGTAAAGGAAGTGAGGAGTCCTGGAGTGTAGGAGGAAGGGAAGCGTGAAGAAGGTTAGGAGTCCTGTATTGCGCGAGGAAGGGTGGTGAGGAGTCTTGGCGTGTAGGAGAGGAAAGTTCGAGGGAGCTGAGGTGTCCTGTAGTGTAGGAGGACAGGAAGAGTGAGGGAAGTGAGGAGTCCTAGAGTGTATGAGGAAGGGAAGAGTTAGCGGGTTAAGTGGACCTACAGTGTAGGAGAATGAGAAAAGTGAGTGTGGTGAGGAGTCTTGGAGTGTAGGAGGAAAGGAAGAGTGAGGGATGTGAGCAGTCCTGGAGTGTAGGAGGAAGGGAATAGTGAAGGGGGTGATGAATCCTGGAGTGTAGGAGGAAGGGAAGCGTGAGGGAGGTGTGGAGTTCTGGAAAGTAGGAGGAAGGGAAGAGAGAGGGAGGTGAGAAGTCCTGGAGTGTAGGAAGAAGGGAAGAATCAGGGAAATGAGGTGTCCTTGAGTCAAGGAGGAAGGGAAGAGAGGTGAGGTGTCCTGGAGTGTAGGAGGAAGGGAAGCATGAAGAAGGTGTGTAGTCCTGGATTGTCGGATGAAGGAAAACATGAGTGAGGTGAGGAATTCTGGAGAGTAGGAGGAAGAGAAGGGTGAGGGAGGTGAGGAGTCCTGGAGTGTAGGAGGAAGGGAGGAGTGAATGTGGTGTGGAGCCCTGGAGTGTAGGAGGAAGGGAATAGTGAAGGGGTTAATGAATCCTGGAGTATTGGAGAAAGGGAAGAGTGAGTGTGGTGAGGAGTCTTGGAGTGTAGGAAGAAAGAAAGAAAAGAAGGAAGTGAGTGTGGTGAGGAGTCTTGGAGTGTAGGAAGAAAGAAAAGAAAGAAGTGAGTGTGGTGAGGAGTCTTGGAGTGTAGAAAGAAAGAAAGAAAGAAAGAAAGAGAAAGGAAAGAGGGAGGGAGGCGAGGAGTTTTAGGAGTGTAGCAGGAAGGGAAGAGTGAGGGAGGTGAGGAGTCCTGAAGTGAAGGAGGAAGGGATGAGTGAAGAAGGAGAGGAGTCCTAGAGTGCAGAAGGAAAGGAAGAATGAGTGTGGCGAGGAGTCCTGGACTGTAGGTTGAAGGGAAGCTTGAAGAAGGTGAGTAGTCTTGGATTGTAGGAGGAAGGGAAGCATAAGGGAGGTGAGGAGTCCTGGAGTTTAGGAGGATGGGAAGTGTGAAGAAGGTGAGGATTCCTGGATTGTAGGAGGAAGGGATGCGTGAGGAAAGTGAGTAGTCCTGGATTGTAGGTAGAAGGGATGCGTAAGGGAGGTGAGGAGTCCTGGAGTGTAGGTGGATGAGAAAAGTGAGGTGGGTGAGGAGTCCTGGAGTGTAGGAGGAAGGGAAGAGATGGGGAGGAGAAGTGTCCTGGATTGTAGGAGGAAGGGATGCGTGAGGGGCATATGGAGTTCTGGAGTGTAGAAGGAATGGAAGAGAGATGAAACTGAGAAGGGAGGTGTGGAGTTCTGGAGTATAGGAGGAAGGGAAGCGTAAGGGGGATAAGGATTCCTGGAGTGTAGGAGGAAGGGAAGCGTAAGGGGGGGTGAGGATTCCTGGAGTGTAGGAGGAAGGGAAGCGTAAGGGGGGGTGAGGATTCCTGGAGTGTAGGAGGAAGGGAAGCGTAAGGGGGGGGTGAGGATTCCTGGAGTGTAGGAGGAAGAGAAGCGTGAGGGAGGTGTGGAGTTCTG